ACACACACACACACACACACACACACACACACACACACACACACACATACCTATATCTAATATGTATATATGTAGTTATATATGTATACACACGTATATCACTTATGTTTTGTGTTGAAGCATTAGTCCACACCTCAGATTTACCCCAAGAAAGGAAAACAGTGGGGATTTGGGTAGTGCTAGTATCCATTCCAGTATTAAGATCTGATGAATGCTCTTGCAGTTACTTTATGCTTCTTTTGGCCAGGGAAATTTTAGGCTACACTTGATTTTAAAAGACAGTCTAGAATTGAGGAAATAATTTGCTTAATTTTCAAATAAAATATTCCAAGATCATTTTTTTCATTTCACATGGACCTGATGTTTTTTGTGATATGATATGATATGATATGATATGATATATATATATATATATATATATATATATAATTTGTTTGTACTGTATAGAAACAGCTCTAAGTGTATATAGTGTACCCATCCCTTTTTGTTCATTTCATTGTTGAAACAGAGAGCCAGGGGAAGACTAGGAGATACTCTAGCTGGACCTTACTGTATGGGAACTTGATACTAGCCCAGCTCAAAAGAGAGACCAGAACTTCATTCTTCTATTAAAATTTGTTTAATTTGGAAAACTTCATGTGATAATGTAATTGTGTGCCGTATCACCTATTATTTTCATATATGCTGGTAAGCCTAGGGCAACTTCAAAATATCATCCAAATATTTGCTCTTCAGATTCTGGACTGTGAACCTTATTACTAAATCTTTCTCAATATTAAGATGCAAACAATGAAGAATATTTTTGAACGGTTTAATTAATTTTAGAAAAGTTTTCATATTATAAACAAATTAAACAGAGGAATAGTTGAAATGCATTTTTTGTGATCACTTGCAGATGGAATTAGTTATGGAGTTATACACTGGAACAAATTATCTAAAATATTATCTTTTTACATTTCCTATTTCTAATTTAACCTTTATTGAATTTTAAGGGGGCAACAGATGGTGTTTTTTTCTCTTATGAAATTATCCTTAGATGTCTCTAACTCTATAAAAAAATAAGCAATATAAACTAATCCCGAAACAGTCTAAGATAAGCCTTTTATTTATTTTATGTTTTATCTTTTCTAAATTAATTTTTGTTTTTCTCTTTTTAATTACGGACAAGGTTTAATCAGATACTGCCTCGAGTCCCAGTGATGATGAGGGCCAGTGGGTCGGGGGTGGGGCAGTGTATGAGAAGAGGAAAAATGGAAGATTATAGCAATCCTGGGGAATGGTAGTGGTATGGGGACAATTCTGAGGATGTGAATGACTCTTCAGATTTCCATGTTTGTGGGAATATTTTTAAAGAGCTATATTTCAGCTATTTTGAATATGACACACTGAAAATCTGTAGTAAAGAAGCACCTAGAAATATTGGAATGATCAAGTTCCTTGTGATACAAAATACTACCCATATTGAGGGAATTCACAAACGTTAGATTTTGATTCTATCTCTCATTTTGCATTGTAGAACAGCATTTAGAACTGTTTTGGGTAAGGCATTCTCAGTAGCAGTCAGGAGAAATGTTTTATACCAGTGTCAACTTATAGGCTTAAAACGTGGGTTGGCAATGTCCAGTTGCTGAGTCCTTTGTGAAGTGGGCTCATTTTCAACAAAGATCAGTAGGGTATATCATACAAATCATCACGTTGAATGTTGGGTTGGTCCATGGGTTTATTTCTGGTGCACATGAGATTTCCTTTTCACTTTTGGATTTTCCCAGATCAGAATAGCATATATATTCCAGCACTTAGGGCAAGGTATGGCCTTGAAAAAGGGCTCTTCATCTTCATAATAGCAGTTATGACAAATTGTTGTCACAGTACTATATTATTCCTTTTTAGCCAATATAGTTCTCTTTCATTTATGAGTTTTGGTTTGAATGACTTCTTTTTCTCTTTAAAAATATAGATATTTCTACATGGAAATAACCTGAATAGCCTGCATCAGCTCATTCATCCAGAGATTCTACCTTCTGAATTTGGAGGAATGCTGCCCCCCTATGATATGGGTACATGGGCAAGAACGCTGCTAGACCATGAATATGATGATGACAGTGAGTACAATGTGGACTCCTATAGTATGCCAGTGAAAGAAGTGGAAAAAGAACTATCTCCAAAGTCCATGAAGAGGTATGTCAGAAATAATGTGTGGTATCACTGTATAAATTAAAATTTCAGTTATACAAGGAGGTTTTTGCTTCAGTTTGGATGTGTGTGTGTGTGTGTGTGTATCCATCATATGGCAGTCCTACTGTACACTGATGATGTTCTCTTTGGAAGCTACAGAAAGATGAGTATCTTAGTCTGTAACATAATTTTTTTTCTACTTTGAGGCAAGTACCATGAATCTCCAAAATGGGATGTGAAAGTACTTATTTCTACCTTCTTTTCTACTTGGGTTAGTCTAAGGTCATATGGAGACAGTGTAACATAGAGTATAGAACACTAGACTTTGAGTTAGGAAGACCTGGGTGTGATCCTATCTAAGCTACTTTATTAAACAGTATGACTATGCACAAATCATATAAGCCAGCTAAGTCTTATTTCTAAAATGTGGAGAATAATATTACATACCTCATAGGGTTATTGTGAGAATCAAGTTAGATAATGTATAGAAAATGGTTGGCAAATCTGTTATAGAAATGTGAGTTATTATTATTATTCATTACCATTATTAAGAGCAGCTCATTCATCCATCAGGTGGGGAGTTGTGGTTCATTCTCTGCTTATGTAGATTTCAGAAGATCAGTGGGAAAAAGACACTTTTCACTTTATGCAAATTATCAAAGAGGGGCCTTTCATTGCACATTTCTGGATTTCATGTCTTATATTTGAATTCTAGACTCCTAAGACACACATTTAGACAGGGTTTTTTTTGTTAATGGGGCTACTTGGGTACTTTTTATGTATATCCATGGTATGTAACAGTCTATCCCTTCTCTTGCAGAGATCTAGCTGAATGGTAGTTAATGACTCTGAGTGGGTATCCCTAGTTTCTAGGGGATGAAAGAGAAATGGAACCAAAACAATATTCAGATTGGGACATAAGCCCATAATCAGTTTATGCCTGACTTGTTTTATTTAGGAGATGTTCTACATTTGCAGTGGTTCATAACATCTCAAAACCAATTCTGACATCTGTAGTGCATAATGAGAGCAGATTAAGAACAGAATCACAGTCTGCCTTTAATTTTTTTATTATGTTAAAGCTGCCAATCATTATATACATTCAGAAATTGAAAGAAAGAGATAAAGAAGATATAACCTTAAAAAATAATACATATTTTTAAAAATACTGTATCATAATTCTATGCTTCATGAATATGTAATTTCATTGGTGAGGGTACTCCTAGCAATGCTTCTCAGAACCCTTCCTCAGTAGATAGTCTTCATGAGTTATTGTGGCTCTCCCCTCCCCCCCCCCGCACCATCCCCAGATCATTAGCTTGTGGCTAGCCTTCTGATGAGGATTCTGTCCAAACTTAAATAATACTTCCATTGTTGTTGATGAAAATGGTCTATCGCCAGTCTCACCTTTTCTGCTTACTTGGAACTTCCATTGTTTGTGCTCAATACATAGGCCTAGGCTTTAAGAAAACAAGGGCAAGTCTATGCTAAAGTGAGGTGTCAGAGTAGGACTTTATAGAAGTTCTTGTGATGCTATAAGCAGGCTCCAAATGGCACACCATTTCCTATTGGAGCTGCAGTGTATTTGTGTATTTGTACAAGAACATCCTTCAACATAAATACTTTACTGTACATGTTCATTACCTATTTTTTCTTTCATTTTCTCCCTACCCAATAGCTATTTGTTTTAAACAGTTTCCTTCCTACATTCTCAATACTTAGTAAATTAAATAGCCCTAGGGATCCAGGATCTCCATTTTATCAACAATACAGTAAGAGAAAATTAAGAACTTTGAGAAATTCATTAACTCTTTCAGGTCAGTGAGTTAACAATTTTTAAAAACATCAAGATATTATTAGTAAATAGTTTCATCCTTCAATTTGAGATAGACTCATAAATTTGCACACCACATTGTACTTAATTGATTTTTTTTGGTTCAGTATGTGATTTCATCAACATCAGCAACTCTAGTTTAGAAACTCCTGCCTTCATAGGCAATGGAAAATTACTAAGAAACTAATCAATCCATAAGCATTTATCAAGTGCTTACTATATGTCAGGCACTATGCTTGATGTCAAAAGCATACGAAAACAAATAATTGAAGCAACTCCTATTCTCAGGAAGCTTGTATTCTATTGGTGAAGGAAACAAGGGGTGTGTGTGTGTGTGTGTGTGTGTGTGTGTGTGTGTGTACTATTGTACTGTGAGGTTGTGACATCCAAAAGGCAGGATTGTTAGGTCTTCCTAACTGACTGGCTTACAACCCACTAGTCAATTGAACATTACTGGTATATCCCATTTTTCAGAGTTCAGTTTCAATTGTTCGCTTTATCGTTTAGTATAGGCAAATAGTCTATCTTTGCTTAAAAAATTTGAGGCCAAGGCATAAATGTTTGTCAACAAGCATTTATTAAATGTCTGCTATGCACTGAGCTAAGCACCATTTCTTTCTTATAATGTTTCCATCTTCTACTTAGTCACCTTGTCTACTTCTTCATTCACTGTCCTGAAGTAAGAGACAGCTGCTTATTTGCTATTGAGATGAAACAGTAAAAATGAGTTAGAAATAGTGACTATCTACCTTTTCCCTTATCTTTGGAGTCTTCTTCTCAGCTTTCAAAACCTGTTTACATATAGCTTATGTCAGTGTTGAATCAGTTCACTTAATCATCTAATTCATTTTGGGGGGTTTTGTTTTGATTTCAGTTTATAAATGGCTGTACCATCTGCTTTTTTCATCATTAGCCTGTACTTTAGCTTATAGTTTTCCTATCTGAAGTTAATGATGTCTGCTAAGAAGCATATTACCACAGCAATATCCAATTGGCTGGTATAACAGCAGGGAGAAAAAAAATTATTATGGGTAGAATTTTAAAAGGGCAGCTGCTTTGCTAATGCTATAGCTATTAAGGAGCCCATTTTCTGCCACAACACTAGCATGTTTCATTGACTTTTCTCCTTCCCAATTTCACATTGTTTCCCAGTAATAAATTGAAGTATAATTCTCACCTTTTACAGAGTTGTGTGTATGTAAAGGGCTCTTGTTCAGATTACTTACTTCTCCAATAATAAAATGAACTACTTAAACTAGAAGAGATACTGGTTATTTTTCAATAAGAGTTACATAACTTAAAAAATTCCAAGAAACGAATTCATTGGATATTAAGTTTTGCTATCATTACATATTCTATTTGGGAATTCATGGCAATATTGTGTTAATATTTTGATATCTGATCTTAATGGATGGGGATCAGCAACATTGAATATCTAAATTTATGGATAATAAGGAAAGTTCATTCAGACTTTATTTGCTTTATAGAATTATTGAGACTAGGAATCTTGTCTTCTGTTTTGGTTGTTTTATAATTTTGATGTTATCCTTGACTCCTCTTTCTCATTGACTGCACATATCCAATTGGTTACCAAATCCTGACATTTCTGTCTTTGCCTCATCTCCCTTATATATCCCCTTCCAGGCCTTCACCTTTATTTGCCTGAACTATTCCAACAACTTTCTAATTGTTTTCCTTGCCTTAACTTCCCCACTCCAATTCATACTCCAAACAATTGCCTGAGTGATTTTCCTAAAACATAGGTTTGCTTATGTCATCCTCCTCAAACTCCAGTGACTCCCTGATACCTCCAGGATTAAATATAATGTTTTTTTTTTTGTTTGACACTTGAAGCCTTTCACAACTGGACTCCTTCCAACCTTTTTTTTACATTTTATTCCACTCCACTCGTACTGTTATGACACTTCATCTCCAGATTTTGTTTGTCCTGAGAATTCACAGTATTTAAAAAATTGTAGTCAGGCCTCACCTAAGTATAAAAAAGGATCTAGAAGATGGACAACATCTCCAAATTATCTCGCATACATAGAACCCTTTTTTACTCAACACTCCATGCTCCAGATAGATTTAAATCCAGCACTATGTTATATGAACTAGGGATACAATGACAAAAATATATCCAAAGGGCTGACGTTCTGATGGAGGCAATTGTTAGCATTACTTTGTTTTGCAGTGGGCTAATTTGAGTCTCCATTTGTCTTTTTTTCATGCATCTCTTTTACTCTTGTATTTCATATCTATAATCTCTTGATTTGGGGGTACGTGAATTTTTCATGGAAAAATTAAAACAAAGAAAAGACAGAGAAATGAAGGACGTCATCTGCTTAATAATACTGTCAGTAACTTGAAAGCGACAAATGTGTGGGAAAATTGTAATGTGGATAATTCAGTTGACTGTGGCTTAATTAATTAATTAATCCATTTATTCTATCTGCCTATCTATCTATCTATCTATCTATCTATCTATCTATCTATCTATCTATCTGCCTATCTACTTATTTACAGATCTCAGTCAGTAGTGGATCCTGCAGTACTGAAACGCATGGATAAAAATGAGGAAGAAAACATGCAGCCTTTACTTTCTCTGGACTAAGAACCTATTAACATCACCAATAAATTAGAATGGAAGGTACTCCCTTTCAGCAAGAAGCAAACCATTGGGGAAGAATGTACCAGCTGGGAATCTATTTATTCATATTAATGTAGCATAATGTAATAAGGCAGCAGGTTTTCCCAGTGTGCCTAAAACATAGGTGTCCTGGGTTGGATTTTTTTTTAAATCAATAATTTATTCTGTAAGTGCCAACTTGTTTGTAAATACAATGTAAGCTCCACTTCAATTTTGTTAGTCTTGATAGCAACGTAGTTTGGAAAAGGATGACTCTTAAGTCCCTGTCACACACACACACACACACACACACACACACACACACCAACCACACCACACCACACTGTAACCAAAGGGGTAAAACACACAAGAAAAAGATCAAAGCTAATTAAATGTAGCCCTGTTTCCTATGAAGCCATATGATAGCTATCATAGTGAGTGCTTCATCTTTTTCCTCTGAGATTCTCTTTCAGTATGTTACTATATTTCTTCATGGGAAAAGGTAAATAGAATATCATGGGAAATGTTATTGTAAACATGGTTCCTATCTAGGGATTATCATTTTACAAGAAACATGTCCTGAGACCCTCACTGGCCTTGTGTTATCGAGACAAAGGATTACAGTTGAGCAGGTAAATCAAACTTTGGAACTGTTTTATGTATGAGTCTTTGGGCACTGGGAAGTGGCATTTCCTCTCAGTTAAGATGTAGAAACAGTGTGGACTCTTCTCAGACTTCCATCTTCACAATTTGTTCTTTACTCAAGCCTCCATTGTATTCTGTTTAATATACTTGGAGAACTTTTTCTCAAATCTCATCAACCAAGAGGAAGAGAACTCATACAAGCCAAATGTTTTGACAACTAATTTTGAACACAACACTTTTCACTAGCAGACAAGGGGCTAATTTCTGAATCGTGTGAACTGGCTGATTAAAAAAATACATATATATTTTTAATGAGCTCTAAAGAAGAGGTCTCCTAATTAAGGATCCATACACCCCATGATAGTTGTTAAGTGTGCTTAGAGATGCTATAGATTGTCATATGAGGTACTGCTGAAACCTACTTCAACTAAAGGTCAATGTAGACTAGGTGTAGTGAAACAGACTCTCACGGATTGTTTAAGGGCGTACTACTTTTATCTGTAAAATAGTCTTGAACATGTGCCATATTGCTGAAATCCTTTTTACCTCAGAGGAACAATAGATCTTGATATATATATTTAATGGCATTTATCAACTGAATTTTTCTCAAATTGACCAATGTTAGGTTTCCATCATCCACTTGAGTCTCTACATAAGAAGGACAGGAATGAATGGACAAACTGAATCTCAGAGTTATAGCTAAATCACCAAAGCTAGGGTGGGTGATATAGACGAAAACTAGCTTTGGGGTTCACCATTAAAGGGGAACTCTTCCAATATGGTGGCAATATTTTCTTTTAGTTTAAATTCCTATTATCAGGGAAAAGAATCGGTCCCTATCACTTTTTTTGATTTGGGGCTTAATGAACAAAAACTCTATGTTTTGGAATGAAGAGAAGAGAAAGATAGTAATTCATCATGTTATTGGGAACTGGGAGCAATGAAGTTTTACTGCTTCCTCTTATAGACTTTTACACACAATGTCTCCTTTCCCAAATCTCACCTAAGTTGGACATCTGAATGAGTATTTGAAACAAATATCAGAACCTGTAGCCCAAACAGAAAAGATAGATGCAGTTTTCTTTTTCATATTGATCACTTAATCAAATTGCATGGAATATTTCAGATCATAATACCTTGGTTCATTAGTCTATTTTTAAAATATTTGGCAATATCTTGGGAATAAAAGGAACACCAGTATATTAATTGGTACAATTCAAAGTATGTTAAGAAATTGCTAGTAAATCTGAATTAATAATAATTTTTAAAATGCCAATTTCTCTTCAGTGACAGAGAAAACACTTACTGTATTAAGTATTCAGCTCAGCCTGCTAATAATTTAATGCTTAAATGATTTGGAAATAAAGGATCATGGACTCTTCATTTCTTATTTAATGATTGTACTGTTAAGTGACCCTGAATGTCTATGTTTTTACATGTTTGTATATATGGCATACAGTTTGGAGCCTTAGGCTTCATGTTCTACACAATTCACTGTAAGGTTATAAGTCATAGTTTCCAGTCTTATAATTTGGGGGGAAAAGAACAACAGTGACAAACTAAGTAAAGTCAACTTCCAATGATTTTTGTGTAGATTTTGCTGTGATGGACCATCTATGGTTTAACTTTGTAATCATGGGGTACCTTTTCAGTTCTAGAAAACATATCCCAGTCCCTTCCTCTTATCATGCAGCAACAGTGCACTCAAATATTGTGAACACATTTTAATACAGACCTAAGAAAATGTAAACAGGATGGTAAATCTTCTAATATATTTCAAATTCAAGTGCTATCCTCCCCTCCCCTCCTCACTTTGGGACATATCCAGTGCTTCACTGCTGCATGATTATAGCATGGAAAAAAATGATAGTTGATTCTATTACTTAAAACATCTAAAAATGAATGGATGAAGTATAATAGTTATGCCTTTTGAAATTACTTTGTTTAGATGATTCAAAAACTAAGCTTATTGGCCAATGGCCTTTCAGAAGTTGCTTAGTTAAAGACATGTATGTTCAACTTTATGAATCCTTTTCTCAGTATTGCCTAACTAGCAATTTGTTTGGGAGTCCTTTGAGTGGCTTTTCTGTGACATATGTCTTTGTGTATTAACTGTCAAATTTAGTTCCTATTAACTGGCATTCATATCTTCATTTAAAGAAAAAAATTGTAGTTGGCTATTAATATTAGACTGTTTTCCCTATTGAAGCTGTCTCTCAATTTCAAGAGCAGTGCTAAGCTTTATGTGGTGGTCTTGTGACTGAAGATGTGTGTACCTTAAAGAGCTTCACTACATTTGGTTTGGAATAAAGGCCAGCAGCCTATTTCTTTTTCTTCTTCTCCTCCTCCCTCTAGGTCCTCCTCCATTTCCTCTAACTTGTTGACCTTCAAGTTGCTTTATTGGCAGCTGGCTAAAGAAAAATAAATAACTTCTCTTCTCATTTTGTCATTGTTTTTTGCACATACCTGTCAGTACTGCTCAAAGAGTGAGAGTTTTTCATATTCTAAGAAACATAAAAAAGTGCCTCTTTAAAGATGTAACAAAGCTGTGCTCTGGTATAGGAACTCCTATTTTTATTCTCTGTTTAAAAAGCATGTTCTATCTCTGTGTAATAGATCTGAAACTGAAACTGTTTGAAATCTGTAAAGGAAGCAACCTTCTAGACTTTGCTTTGTGCACTTCAGTTACAGCATTTCATCTTTGTTTGGACTCAAATGATTCTTTATTAAGAGTTATTAAGAAAGCCAAGTCTCATGCTAAACGAAAAAAAAAGTATCAAAGAGTTTAGCAGGAAAGTTAAAGAAATAAAAATGAATAGTCCATTTCTCTCTTTACATGAGTTTTTAAGCAAGTGTAGGCCAAGGCACCAATGATTTTACTGTAAATCTTCATGTGTAAATGGCTCTTTAATTGGTGTTCTGGAAAAGCAAATTTTCATAATCAGAAAGCCAACTCCTACGGTTTATCACTAAAATCATCAACAGGACAAAATGGTTTGAATGAAGCATTTGCAATTTCTGGCATATTTGTAAGAGAACAAAAGGTTATTATTATGTAATAGAGAGTTGTATTAATCTTAATATGGATAATTGACTAATCTCAAAAGGAAACCTTTTGAGCAATAATAAATCTGTTCTTGGGTAACATTTTGCTTTTCTACTATACACTTTTTAAAGGTCTTGTGGGAGGGGAATATTGCTTTGGGGAGACAAATTTTAATTATCACAAATTATATCAAGGAATGTTGATGATAAAATATTATATACACAAAATTTTATTCCTATTTTATTGAAAAGTCAAAATGTTCTCTATGGTTAATTCTATCTTCTTAATTCTCTATGCATACATTAACTAATGATTACTTTTAAATTTATCAACATTGTGAGAATGTTGTATGTCTGCATGTATTGAAAAATGAAGGGAATTTGACAAGAAATCTAAATTCTTTCATTTGGTTTATCAAGTTATTAAATTCATGTGAGATAATTGCCAGTTTTTCATTTCAATAGGCACTATCGACTTTATGGGGAGGCTCTGGACATGTGATATTATGGGGAATTAACAGTGCAGAAACTCCCTTCACCAATCCAGGACTGTTACTTTCTCTGTTATTTAGAGTCTTCAAGAGTTGACTAGCACTGAGAAATTAAATGACTTGCCCATATTCACACAACTATCATGAGTCAGCCGCAAGATTTGAACTCAGATCTTCCTGATTCCACAGCAGACTCTGTGTCCACTGCTAGCACCCTACCTTAGGCATAGCCTTAAAAATTTCACTTTGTGGGATCATCTGAGTGCTGAATATTGTATAAAAAAGTCTCTTCTTTCTAGCCAGTAGTGCTATGAATTCATCAAAAACTTTTGAACATACTATTCCTGTGCTAGAAGCTTTGCCAATCTTTATTTGCCATAAAGAAGGAAAAAATACTAAAGGAGCTTTTTGCTTTGTAATATCATTATTGAATCCCAAGCTCAGTATCTTCTTAAAATCTAGAAATCACTCCCTTTTTCGAGGTATCATGCCTTAATAGTACTTAGTTATGTGTATACGGGCAGCTAGGTGACACAGTAAATAGAATGCTGGGTCAAATCTGGCCTCAGACACTTAACTAGCTGTGTGACCTTGAGCAAGTCACTTAACCCTGTTTGCCTTAGTTTCCTCATCTGTAAAATGAGCTGGAGAAGGAAATGTATCTTTCCTTCATACAGTATCTTTGCCAAGAAAACTCCAAATGGAGTCATGAAGAATCAGACATGACTGAAATGACTGAATGATAAATTATGTGTATGGAAACATAGAGGGTAAAATACCTGTATTTTTTTAAATATACCAGGA